AGAGATAGTGTAGCTGTGGATGGAAGAATAAGGATGAAAACTGTTAGAGAGATTGTAATTTGTCTCTCAATTACAAGATCACATAAATTTGGCTTAAAATACAAGGAAAAATGGTAAGGAAGTGCTGGAGCGCATGTTTAGTGTGCTGCAGCGAGTTTGATAGCATCATTTGGCGCTATCACAGCAGCTATAGGCACTGCAGCGCCCGTGCAAGAGGAACATGGGCTGCAGTTTTAGGCGCTGCACCGCCTTTCCAGCGTTGTAGGCGCGCTGCAGCGCCTGCATTGCACCCCGAAGGCCTGCTCTCTGTCTAAAACTCTGCTGCAGTGGAAAACTTCGTGCTGCAACGTCATTGTGCAGACCTCTCGGGTTAGTTTTTTGCTACCCGAGCGATGCACGGGAAAAACATCCACTGCAACGGATATTACTACAGAAAGCTATGTTTTCGTGTGTTTATGTGATCTGAAAGGTCTTCAACCATTGCATTCATTGGTGATATATTTTCACACATATCTGAACACTTATTAGCAATAGATATAACCATTGTAATAGGTGCATCAATTCATGAAAAGATACATTTACATTGAAAATGTATATTTATGTGAAAGGTTGTAATTTTTAAAGAGGATGCATTCATTCAATGAAATGGCACATCTGTCTTTATTAATTCTCCAAAAAAGTTACAGACTTAATTCATGTTCTGGAACTCAATATTATTGCTAGATATTGTGTTCAAGTGTTTGCTGTATCTTGGGGGTAATTTGTCATTAAAACTCATTAGCAAACTTTGAGAAGTGAGGGCAAATAAAACCTTAAAGGAAAGTAGTCCTATACGCCTCAAACCCTCTCTTGTTTTTACATTCTTTTCACCTTCTACACTCAAATTCTCCAACAATCGATAAGGTTTTAACTTGTTGCAATGGAGGTTGAAAAGAACATGACGTCTTTCTTCAATCCGAATGTCCAACTTAATAGATTTGACGGTACCAATTTCACCCGCTGGAAAGAAAAGTTGTTCTTTCTTCTCACTGTGCTCAAGATTGCCTATGTGCTTGATGTTGGGAATGGTATCCTAGAAGCATGAGATGTAATAGGATATTTATTATTTAATTAATAAAAGAGTTTATTCATCATTTTATGTGCATATATTTATGAATATTTTATGAATATCAAATGAAAATTCCGTGATTATTTATGTAACCTTAAACATAGTATATAAGTGTTGTATACGAGAGGATAATGTTTAAGGATAATAATAAAAAATGTTGTTCATAATGAATTTAATTAAAGTTCGGAATCTTTAATTAAAACATTATTAATACATGTTATTCTCATTTAGAATGGAACGGTGCTATCCGCACTGTTAATATGGTGAGATATTGAATAAGTGTATTTCGCATAATGAGATTGTGTGGAACAGGGACACAGACACAAATATGAATTTCTAATAATTTCTGTTAAGCGTAGAAATTCTAATTGAGTCTACCGATGGTCATATATAGAATGATCTTAATCCTGAGTTATTAACAAACTCCTATTTATGGATTTGTATCTTTTGATTTACTCGGTACGGATTCCGAGACCCTGAATCCTATTCGTTGTATTTTGGAGACATGATGAAATAGGTAGCAGGGAATGTTATTATACGAGATGAAATCCATTCCTTCTTGAGAAAGAAGTAGATAAATAATTCTCTTGAGTGTTGATTCGGTACTTGGATTAGTAAGAGCACTCTAGTTCATGAATGTGTTTTATGAATCACTAT